ATTCTACAAAAATTTTAGAGATGATGTAATACCAGTTCTCAAACTCTTTAATGAAATCAAAAGGGAAGCAATACTCCAAAGTCATTCCTAGAAAGCAAACATTAACCTGATTCCAAAACCAGAAAAGGACTCAAACAAAAAAGAGAACTATAGGCAATTCTCTTTAATTAGCACAGTTGAAAAATATCCTCAATAAGACACTGGCAAACAGAATGCAAGAAATCATCAAAAACCTAACATCATGACCAAGCAGGACTCATTCCAGGGATGGAGGGATTATTAAACATATACAAATCTGTGAATGTAGTACACTACATAAACAGAAGGGCAAAAATCACATGATCATCTCAACAGATGCAGAAAAGGTATCTTGACAAAATCCAACATGTATTTATGATTTAAAAAAAAACCCTGAATAAAATAGGAATAGAAGGTTAGTATCTCAACCTGATAAAAGCCACCTATGACAAATCAACTGCCAACATAACACTAAATGGAGAGAAGCTAAAAGGTTTCTCTCAAAAATAAGGATAAACAAAGACGTTCACTATGACCACTTCTGTTTAATAAAGTCCTTAAAACATTAGCTAGAGCAATAAGACAAGAGAAGGAAGTATAAGGGATATATAGAGAGCAGAAAGAAGTTAAATTATTATTATTTTCTAATGACACAACCCTCTATAAAGAAGACTCCAAAAACTCTACCAAAAGATTTCCTAGGAATAATATCCAAATTCAGCAGTGCAGCAAGACACAAAGTCGACACTCAAAAATCAATAGCATTCCTGTACACCAATAAGAAGCTCACTGAGAGGGAAATTAGGGAAACCATACCTTTTATAATAGCATTAAAAAAATGAAATACATAGGAATTAGCCTAACTGAGGAAGCAAAAGACCCCTACAATGAAAACTACAACAAAGGAGATTGAAGAAGAAGATGTCATAAAATTGAAAGATATCCTCTTCAATCCTGTTCCTGGATAGACAGAAACCAATAAAGTAAAAAATGGCCATACTGCTAAAACTGTTACACAGATTTAACATAATCCCAAAGTACCATAGCATTCCTTGTAGTACTGGAGAAAGCCATCCTAAAATGCATACTGAACTTGAAGAGACTTAAATAGCAAAAGCAATTCTAGGCAATAAGAGTAAGGCAGAGGCCATCATGATTTTGGACTTCAAGTTATATTACCAAGCTACAGTGATAAAAATGACAGTGCTATTGGGGCCGGGGGAAGACTTGTTGATTAACGGAACAGAACAGAAAGAACAGAAGATGTAGAAACAACTCCAGTCACACCAGCTATGTTATTTTTGACAAAGGGGCCAATCCTTTCACTGAAGAAAGCCTCTTTAACAAATGCTGCTAGGAAAACTGGTTGTGCACATGCTGAAGGTCAAACCTAGCCCTGCATCTCTTACCAGGCAAAATCAAAATGGTTCAAAGATCTAAACAGCAGAAGATAAACACTTGATTGGCTGAAAGACAAAATAGGTAAAACTCTTGAAGACAGAGGTGTAGGCCAAGGCTTCCTAAACAAAACCCAGCTTGCACAAGAAATAACACCAAGAATGAACAAATGGGATCACATCCGCCGCCTGCCTTACAAGCTCAAGGTCCCGAGTTTGATACCTGGTACCAAACAAACAAACAAATGGGATCACATCAAATTAAAAAGCTTCTGCACAGTAAAGGAAATCACCAAGAGTGAAGAGATGACCTACAGAATGGGAAAAAATTTTCCCAGCTATTCCTCAGACACAAGAAATGGACTAATATCTAGAATAAAGAAAGAACTAAAAAAAATTAGACCTCCCAAAATGTAATGACTCAATCCGAAACTAGGCATCTGAAATGAATAGCCTTTGCCCAGATGAAGACGTACAAGTAGCCGACAGATACATGGAACACGTTCAACGCTGCTATTGGAGGGATGCAAATTAAAACAACACCGAGACCCCATCCCATTCCAGAAAGAATGGCTGCTGTCACGAAATCAACCAGTAACCAATACTGGTGAGGCTGTGGGGAAGAGGAACCCTGCTCCATCGTTGGTAGGGATATAAACTGATATAACCACTATGGAAATCATTATGGATTTAAACAGCTAACAGTAGAAATCCCATTTGACGTAGCTATTCCCCTTCTAGGTATCTTCCCAAGAGAGTAAAGACATGACAGCACAGTGATGTAGACACACCCATGTGTACAGCAGCACAGTTTGTAATAGCTGAGTCTTAGGAACGGCCCATATAGCCATCAACAGATGAACGGCGGTATTTATACACAGCGAGGTTCTACTCTGCCATGAGAAGGGTAACAAGTTATTTGTAGAAAAACAGATGCATCTTGAGAGCATAATTTTAAGTGAAGTGACTGACACACAAGCTTAAATACTGAGTGGTTTCTCTTATATGAAAAACTCAATATACATAAAAAGTATGAAATAAATGATAGATAATAGGAAAAAAGAGAAAGAAAGAAGTATTGTAATCCAGTGTGGACAATGTATCTAAAAGTGTGCCTTAATTTAGTACAATTATCTTACATGTTTTCTTGCCTATTAGTCTGGTTTCAATCTGTATATATGATAATTAACTTATTGTATTATATTATCTTGTATGGTAAATTAATCGGGGCTGGAAAAATAAAATGGGGGTGGGAGAGAGAGGGAGAAAAGGAATTGAGATGTGTTATGAATATGTACTAATCCCCTACTGTGAATTACATACTGCATGCATGGACTAATAAAAGTTAAGGAAAAAAAAAACATTTTATACAGAATTAGCTCAAACTGGTTCACACACCTAAAATGCAAAACTATAAGATTATTCCAAAAAAAAAACAGGACAAATGTTTTGATGTTGGATTAGGCAAAAATTCTTTTAATACATCAAAATCTCAATGCTCAAAAGAAAAATTCATAAATTGGACTTTAGTAAGCTAACATAAGAAAAAGAAGCTGCACACTAAAATATTTGTAAATCATACATTTCACAAAGGACTCAGTGATTATAAATAACTCCTAACACTCAATAAAAGAAAAGAAAAACCCTACAACTTTATCAAAAGATCTGAAGGGACATTTCAAAATGGTAATCATTTTACAAAAAAAAGGGCAAACTTGAGAGGAAATTTTTGGCTTTAGATTAGTATAATTTTTAACAGCGATCCAATCAATATTTGTACACAGAAACCAATAACACATTTCAAGTCCAACAGGTGTTTTCTGATTTCTCCCATGAAAGAATGATGGAGGTACCTTCCCCGTGTGAATAGCTGTAAAACTAGGCAGAACCCATGAGGGACTCTGGGGCAGTGGAGAGCCTGTGGGGACAGGGACAGGCCGAGAGCACAAGCATCCAACATGCACAAGGCTTCCAGAGAGCTGGGCACTCAGGAGACACCACTGAGCTCTGCAATCTGCAGGGCCCAAGAAGCCTGGCCCCACAGTAGCTAGGCCTCTGCTGAAGGCCTCTGGGCATGAACCGGCACCAGCCCTACCCCTGTGTGGGGCAGCTACTGGGCTGGGAGTGGGGAGGAGAGTGGGATAACTCCCCACCCTGAGTAAAGAGGCCTTACTTGTAAGAATAGGAACAAAACTAAAGCAGTCCTCACCAAGAAAACCAGGTTCAAAGGATCTGACAAAACCTGACTGCCTGCATAATAAAACCAAACGCCTTACAGCTATCATCTGAAATGTCTGTTGTACGGTAAAAAGAACTGTAAGATGTAGGACAGTATGCCTCCTACTCAAAAAGGAAAACGCCGACAACAGAAACAGCATGGATAAGCAAGACCGAATAAGCAAGCATATGGAAACTTCAGCAAAGAAATGGAAATTACTGAAGAGAGAGAGTACTAGAAAAGTATACCATCTGACACCAAGAATGAATGGTCTACTCAAGGACAGACTGGAGGTCACATAACACAGTGAATTTACAAAGAGCTTAAGAGAAATTATCCAATCTGAGAACACATTTTTAAAAAGATTATAAAAGAATGAACAGAGCCTCAGAGCTATGGAAGTTTCACTTGCCTTATCCCACAGGTAGAAGAGCTTCACAGTGGAAAGGAGAACAAGTGGGCAGCAGTTACCTTGAAGTATTGTGAGAAGTGAAATAATGCAGAGAGTCAAGATTCTGAGCAAACCCTGCCAGGCGTTGCGAGTCAGGCCTGTAATCCCAGCACGTGGAAGGCTAAGGCAGCTCAAGGCCAAACTGGGCCCTACAGACCTTGAGAATCAGGGTCCCATCCTGTCATTGCCCGTGGTGGTGTCAAGGACAAAACCCAGACAGACCTCTCCCTTGGAGCTCCAGGGCCTCCTCTGCTCAGGGCCCTCCCACAGCTTTGTAAAACTTCACACAAGTCAAGCAGGACTATGCGGCATGCACATAGGCAGTTTTCTTCAACCGGCCTCAAAATGCCTCTCACTCCCTTTCAGCACATGAAGACAACTTTAAAGTGTTTAAATAAAAAACAAAACTCCAAGATCCTAACAACTCCAAATGCTGTAACTAGTAAAGACAGTCTTCAAAATGAGGGTGAACCAGATGATATTTCTGATAAGTGAAAGCTGAGATAATTCTTTGCTAGTACATCCACCCAACAAGTATGAGAAGGGGCAGAACCAGAGAAATGCTGCCAGAAGGTCTTCATGCAGAGGCACAGACATGCACTGCAATACCAGCTGGCAAGGCAGATCTCTAAGGAAGGATGACAACCATCAGAAATAGTAAGTTGTGAGTAAACATAAAACCCTACTTTTTATTTTTTGTTGTCCTAAAACATAACTTGTTACTTAAATAAAAAATTGTAATGTTGTATCTATACGTATTAAAATATATGATAATTTTGTGCAAAAAGTTGGGTGGTGACAAATGGAATTATAAAAAACAAGCAACTAAGTATGCTAATGCCCAAGATGTTTTCAGAAACATTCATTGTGAGCTTTTAAGCCGAAACGACTTCAGAGTGCCTACAGCACCACATACCAGAACGATAACAGGGGCGTGCAAAGGCCCGTCAGTGTGAAGGGTTTCAGCGTCATCTTCAATGCTATAATCCCACTCCACGCCAAGGTCTATGAAGGTCCGTGACTTGGCTTCCTCCCCTTTGCCATTCAAAATGTAGTGGCCCGTAGCCTGGTTCTTGATTGCTAAATAAGAGAAATGAGCAACCCAAGCATCTATTTTATCATACTTCAACTTGCAGATCCATAAGCAAGGGCGTCCCCTTCTACAAATCAGTGACTATGTTAATTAGTATCAGGCAATCAAAATGGGTGTTAGTTCTGCTATCATTCCCATTCTGTCATTGGGCATTAAAAACTCTCAAGAAGCATTTCCAGATAATCAACATCATGTGCAAGACAATTAAACAAAAATAGTGTTTGCAAATATTCTTATTTGAAAACACTTTCAAAGAGAAGAACAGTTTTTAACTCATCATCTCTTACATTTCCACAGAAAGCTGGGACTATTTTGACAATACTGGGTATTTCTCCAGTGATGCATATAGTTTTTGTTAAATGGAAAGAACATAAGGGCTTCTTTATAGTATCATCTTTAAGTTGATCAAAATATTTATAGTGACTTAAAAAAGCTGAACAGGTTCATATGCCAATCATTTTTCTGATGGTTCCAAAATTTCTAAATCCATATCACCTACTTCTGTAGTCAGGAAAAGCTGCTTACTGCTAATAGGGTTCCCACTTTATCACAGCCACTGTATATTATAAAATCAGTGGATGAAAAGAATAAATGAACATATATTCTGGAGATATGTATCAGCATGTAGGGCTAAATTAGAACACAATGTCTCCTAACGACCCCCATCACTGAAAATGTGTAGGAAACGTGAAGATTTGTAAAAGGTGGGTATATAGCTCAGTAGCAGAGAGCTTGCCTAGCACGGGCAAGGCCCTGGATTTCATCTTCAGCACCATAAAAAAGTGACAATATAATTCTAAACATATTTATCCTCCTTTAGCTTTTAGTCAGAGAGTAATAATCTGAACTCCAGGATGAAGAATAAGGAATCTGAGACACTAGAGAAACAACTAAGGTTGAACGTCTAAAGGCAGTGGCATCCCATAGGGAATATAATTTAAATATTTTTTTAAAAACAATTGTATGAAACATTATAAAACAATTCATTTTTAAGTCAACATAATACCTGTTTCAAAAATCTTAGTGCTTCAATATGCAAAAGCTGTTTATATTTACACAGAGATTCCATTAAAGTGATGTTTCCATACGATGCTCTCATAAAAAAGGAAAGAATCTTCTTTTGGAAATAGTACTTAACCATGGAAACAGATCTGTGTGTCAATCAAAAGCCACCTGGCACTTTTCAGATAGACTAGTAGGAAATTTTAAGACTAGCAAAATCCACCGACAGTTGCTTTTTACTCAAGGAACTTTAAGTTCAATAAAAATAAGGGGAGGTGTATAATCAACCAACTATTTTCAAACTAAAAATGAATTTTTCTGGTATTCCTCCTTAATTCAGTAAGTTTTATCAGTTATTATTCTCATCCCTTAATATAGACCAAAAAGTGCATTAACAAATATAAACTTGTTTTTCCCTCATGTCATTATGACCAATCACCACTGTCTACCAAAAATTAAAGTTTTCTTCTTGTTTTAAAGTACAAATAGTTGGGAGAAATGACAAAGCCCACATAATATTTAGCAAGGTATCTACAGCAATTTTGGTTCCCTCCTGGCTGCACACCCACACGGTGGTACCCATGACTTCTCTGACATTTCAGGGCATGCTGCAGGTTAGAGCACAGCCAGCACACAGAACACCTACCGAGAACATGTGGAGAGGCCTCGTCTTCTTGGATTAACACATGTCTAGCCCCAGGGGGGATATCAAACATCTTAAGGTACCCTGTGCATGTGTGGTGAATACGGGAGGAAGCAAAAAAGAAACAAAGCGACAACAATGGTTAGTACGGCCTGAACTGAGTGCTCAGGAGGCTCCTGTCTGCAGAAGAGGGCACCCAGAAACCACAAAGGTGGCTTCAGAACTTAACTCCAAAGCACCGTGACATCCCAGAGTGAGTAGAGGAAACTTACTTCAATTAAAGAAGAGAAAAAGTTAATCTTGAAACCAACTTATTAGTCATTGACCTTGTGTTGATCTATGAATTGTACCAACAACAATTCAGGCAAATACTGTACTTTTCTGTGTCCCTCTAATGTGACTCTGGCCTTCTAAACCACCCTTTCAAAGTAAAAGTCTTTAGGTGCCAAACTTCTGGAGACACCTTTCCTGCCCCCACACACTGTTTTAAAAGTACACAAGACAGTTATAAACGGCTGCACCATTAATAATTGGGAGTATTTTCATATTGAAGAGCCTAATTTTTTCCTAAAAAATTATATAAGAAAAACTGGTGAGCAGGTTTTATTTTTCTTGTGATTAGCAATGAATTTTAAAGTTTTAAACAGGTTGTATGTGGGGCTATTTTAAAGTCTGTGTTGTAGGTTTTGCTAAACCATTTGGGTTGAAGATCGTGCCAGGCATCCCTCACATACTGCTTTCTGTGCACCCTAAATTCAGTCTTATAGGCTGGAATGATAAAATCAAGAGGCTTAAAACTGGTTGCTCTGGGTCTTATAATTATGAATCACTCCTATTACTGTCAGTGTTATACATGACAAAATTTAATAGTATCAGTCCCAAAAGTTATCTTAAGAACACTTTGAATTAAGATCCTAACCATAAACCAACAAAGGGCCAAATAGACCAAGATACTATATCACATTTCCATAAAAATAGGTGAATACATGGATTATAAGCTACACCTTCCGTACATTATGGAACACATAACATAAAATACCAGTATTGACAGGAATTTAGTGATCAATACAAAATTATTGATGGAATTAGGAAAAACTCTTTGTTTTCATTTGTCTATATACAATTAATAGGTGCCTATGGATAGATTCATCCAGCTTTTCACCATATTTACTAGTGTCCTTAGGAAATGGAGTAGCCACTGGTGGATCAAGGTGTCCTAAGCTGAAGTCCAACACATAAAATGTAGTATTTTTGCCTCAATATATCACAATAGATATATAGAAGACACATGCTTAAAATGCCACATAGAGCAAAACAGCTTGATGCCATTTATGGATGCCCATTTCTCTGCAGTTTCCTACAATTTAACCAGTACACTTCTACCTTCTCTTGTTTCAACAAGAGAAACATTATGAGCTCCTCTGGGTAAAGTGAACACTCCTCTCGTCTTCCCTTAAATAGAATGTCTTTAATTAGTGGAGGTTTTATGTTTACCAATGTCTTGCTATTTCACTGACTATCCCATAAGCCTTATATATTTCATTAGATAAGATATAAAATATTTTCTGTAATTTTACGTGTTGAAGTCAAAATATATTTACAATATATTAGCTAATGGCAATAAACTGTTACTAGTCAGTGAAAGCAAGACTAAGTTTGAATGCAAAACAGTATAGGTGATTTGAACTTGAATACTTGCAGATTTCATTTTCCAGCAAGTCGAATTCTTTATGGCACCTCTTGCTGAAATGTTTCCCTGTTGGAAAAGTTTAATTAGTCACGGAATCGCTACCATGACACAGGGTTAGGTTATCTCTGAACAGCTGGAATCTGCCTTACTGATGGACACTTTCTCATGTTCTTTTGACCTTCATTTTCTGGTTTGGAATAATTTTTGAACTATGTGAACCTCAGTATCTTTACCTTACCATACATACTATAGGTCACGGCAAAAATCTTTTGTCCTTAATTACTTCACTCTGGAAATAAAATAAATCAATCATTTTGCACCCAAAAGAACAACATGTAACCGCTCTAGAGAAAGAACAGTTCATTATTTTACAGTGAGCTGGAGAACAGTACATGTGATTCCATGGAAACCAGAAGGTGTAGCAGGAGACTCTTTAACAAAGTATCATATCAGTTTTATATTTAAAAGTTTACTTTCCAGAAGTGTTTGCCCAATCAATCCTTACTGAATAGCTGAATATTTGTTCCAAATTCAGAAAGTTATTCAATAATAAATGTTTAGATCACAACCTTTAATGAAACTTCCAGTGAGTATTGTGAAAGTGCTATGGTTTCACATATGGCTTGTTGCAGGAAGACAGCTCTTAGTTCCATCTGCCCTAGTGCAGGTCCTCACAGTACAGGAAGTACAAAAGTTCCCACTTACACAATCAGACCTCAGATTAGTGTTCGTTGTATCTCAAATTATTTTTAAATAAATATTTTAAAATTCAGTGAAATTTAGATCCTAGATTTGATTTACAAACAGAATAAAATTTTTGTTTTTAAAATAAAAGAATTCAAACCAATGCAGCATTTAGAAAAGTTATATTTACTTAGAGGTTTACAATGTTTTAAATCCTGGCAAACAATTTATGTGCAACAGGTACTCAAAGTAGGCATCAGTTTTACCTCCAGTTTATTAAAAATGTAAAATAAAACAAAAAGTACATCTTGTAGTTAACTTCTATAATTTATATTGTTTTTAGTAGCTATTTTCTCATCATAAATGCTAGAGTCTGAGTTTAAAATTTTTAGATAGTTCCTTAGAAGGTAATTTAAATTAAAAAATCACCAGGTAATCTTTGTCAGTTTTTTGAGAAAATGTTGCACTGCTAAAGAAGCCTCAAAAGCACAAGTGAAAGAGGTGGGTCCCACGTGTGAGAGCCCAGACTCACCGAGCTTCCTGGGAGTCCTGGTAAACGTCCCCTTCACAGTTCGACAGTGAGAGTTGTCACCTCCACAGACGCCACATTTGTCCTCGACCTTATGGGAACCAATTTCTCTGTCACAGCCCACTTTCTGGGGAAAGAAGACATTAAGAGTGGTTATTTCATAATGCACCAGGCAGGAAAGCTCACAAAAAGGATGATGAACCATTTGTTCGATAACAGCCAGCGCAGCTGCCTCAAACTGGCCTCACATTGTGGACCATCACAGTTCTAAAGGACAAGTGAGTGTGTGGCTAAATGCATTCTACTCTTGTAACAAGGGGCAGATATCTTCAGTCCAGAGAAGTGTTTATCTCACTGTAATTATCTCAATCCTCAAATGTACGTTTATGGAGCACAGAGATAGCTGATGCTGAGGAAAGCAAAAGGAAAAGAAAAGAAAACCAAAAAATATGGTGCTTTTCCCTTAAATAAAATCAGTGAGTTATACACTTTATATATAACTACAACTGTACTAAGCAATATGGCTGCACACTATACACCACAGTGCAGTCTGTAAAAGCTAGGGTGGTGTGAGATACGGCCTTGTGAAAGTGCTGGACATTTCGCAGGTCCGTCAGGGGCAAAGAGTGGACCGCACTCCGGGAACACAAAGTTGGGGCAGAGCAGGAAAACCATGTACTCAGCGGAAGTGGGCTGGAAGTCAGGAATGAAAGTGCCTTTATGTGAATGGGAGGCGAAAGTTGCATCGTAGGGGAAAGTCCTGCTGGGCACAGTGGAGGCTGTGGAAGGTACAGTTTTCATTTTCACACTCACTGGACAGAGGGCCACTGAAGGTTTCAGGTCAGGGGTGGGTCCTTAAAATAATCCATTGCAGAATAATGACACTACACTGCATGGCACTGCACTCGCAAGACTGGTGTGGCCACGGGCAGGGAAAGTAAAGAAGGCATATACATGTCATGCACTAGGCTCTCTGCCAGGCACACTGTCAGGGCCTGTACGTGTCTCCCTCAGAAAGCACATGCTGGGAACTTACTCCCCAGTGTGACAACCCTGGGGACAGGGGTGAAGAAGGTGTGGAAACTATGAGGCTTCTGCCTCGGGGGCAAACCCATGCTGCTATGAAGACACCCTCTGTCTCCCCAGCACAAGCCACAAGCCACCTCCCCTTCCCCTCTCCCCTATGAGGCAGCAGCCATGCCCTCGGCCATCACTCAGCACAGCACTACCCATGGGCTGCCTGGCCCTCAGCTCCACGAGCTACACGTGTCTTTGCTTTACAAATGCCCTGTGGATGAGGCCACAGCAGAGCGACATGAGAGAGACTCATAGACACTGAGGGACTCTTCACTTCAACACCAAGGCACCGGGATATTTTAGTTTTGCTGAAGCAATAAAGAAGTAGACGTTAGGAGTTCATGTGCTTCAGCTAATCAGGATAATTTCATATCAATTTAACTCTGAACAGAAAGAAAGGAGCTGCATGTTTTAAGGAAAGATTAAACAGACAAAGCTGTTTTGCTTCTCTAGAATTTTTGTTTGGATGTGGAATACAATGTTTCCACTTAGAATCAATTTAGAAAGAGAGGGAGAAAGAACTTTATTATCTTTCAAACAAAAGATAAAACACTTAGCATTACGTTATTTTTAAGACCTTGAATTTTAGTGGCAGCTCACAGCACATACACGGTTTCCTGTGGTTGTGATCTCAGCGGTGGATCCCCATGGAAAAAGTGTGTGGCTGGATACTGGGAAAACTACTTGGCTCTTGATTCCCCCAGTGACCCAAGACCGAATTTGCTAAGCACAGGGTCTTGCAGATTCATCTCATCTACTGAGTACTCAGCACCAGCGGCTGTGGGGCGGGGCGGGGGCACTCACCACACACTCGCCGCGCACACAGATGCTGTAGGGGTCCTTGTAGGAGCAGCGCGTGCCATCGTGCACCAGCTGCTTCATGTAGGCCGTGTGCCCTGTCTCCCGGGACTGGCAGTACAGGTGGCACCTTTTCTTGGCTGCATGACGGGAAGAAAAATTAATTATGCACAGCTTAACTTAATGTTTAAAATACAAAGTTTAAGCACGGGTTCCTGACAACAAAAGAATACTGTGTAAGTCAACAGAGCAGAGTGAGAGGGAAGTGTGCATGGCTAGTGGCACATTTGGCACACTTGTGCAGTAAGAAGGTGATGGCTCATCCTCCACCTGGGCTGCCTGAGAGGGCACAGGCTCTGCTATCACTGGGTAGGGACCTCAGGTCCCAGGGCACTGCTGTGAGCCAGCCTGTGATGCTCCAGACTGTACCAAACTCTAAACCAGCTGTATTCTAGCAATGCTCAGAGTGCTGACAGGATTTCTTTTTGGTCCAGCTCAACAACCAAGCATAGTTTGTGCCTCTCACAGGATCTCATTAATTAAATGTAATTTATATAACTTAACCACTTTTTTTGAGACAGGGTCTTGCTATGTAGTCTAGGCTGGACTTGAATCCCTATGTAGCCTACGCTGGCCTTGAATTCATGGTGATCCTCCTGTCTCAGCCTCCTGGGTGCTGGAGTTAAAGATGTGTGTCACCATGCAAGACAAAGGCAAAACACTATGAAGTGCCTTTTGTTACTAAGAAATAGTCTTTTTCTTGGATCTGGCCCAGCTATATGTGAACTGCATTTCCCTCCAGTTTTTCCAAAAGGCAAGATCACACTTATGCAGACGTATTTCCCAGTAGAGAGATTGTGGCTGAATCAGGCAATTTAGCTTCTCTAGCAGGCATCCATCCCTTCCTACCAGGCGTTTCCTTGGTGAGGTGGTCATGCTGTTTGCCAGGAAGTCTCGGGCACAATCTGTACCTCTAGAGAGAGGAACCACCTGGCTTGGAAGCCAGGGCACCGGGACCTCAAGAATGCCGGGCTTCCCTGCTGCCAGGTGGGGTCCCAGCCCCCGGGCGAGGTGCTGGCCTGCCAGGAGGAGTGGGGAACTCACGGTCAGAGTGCTCATGCGGCAGCCAGTGATGCTTGGCGCCCTGGAACTCAAAGTGAGAGTTCCGCTGCTGGCACTGCTGTGCTCTGAAGTCCCCGAAGTGTTTCTGGCACTCTTCCGTATTACACAGCTGGTACTCAAAGTTGACTCCTGCACAGTCCTGACCGCCATTGATGGGCCTGCGGGAAAGACCACACTGGAAAAGCCTGCAGACGCCGCATGGGCCCAGCGCCAGCACCAGCTGCCTGCAGCAGTGAATGAGCATGGGCTTCCTCCTGGACCCGGCCGGCCCTTCCCAGCCTCCTGCTCTCCCTGCGTCAGGGCAGAGGACTCAAGCTCAGCCAGAGTCAGCTCTTCCCACATAAATAGGAAGAAAAAGCAAGCACATAGGCTTAAGAGTCTCTAATGAGTATAAAACACAAAGATGCAATTCAGAGCAACTCTGGTCACAGCTCTGTGCTTCTGTTCCTCCTGTGTAAATTCAAATAGCAATACTATTTTCCATAGAGAAACGCTGAGGATCCCAAGCGGTAACATGTTTAAGTACTTATGATAAACCCTGCCTTATAGGGAGGCTAAGCCGCCCTTATTAAGATCATTTTGATTGTCTGTGCTGCTTTTCTGCAGGACATCACCTTTCCTGTGAAAGGAGTATGTGGTGTGAGTGCTCTCATCAGAGACATACTCAGATATCCCGCTGCACAGATAAAGGACTGCTCACATGTTCACCCTAGACCAGGGAGGACACCCTGAATTTAACAACTCCATGATTTTTGTCTTTCAGAAAACAGTTTGTGGAGTATACAACAGGGACTGAGTGGCATCAGCCCAAGTGAGAGTGAACAAACAGACAGACAAACACATTCCCCTCACTCCTGGCCACCCACTGCCACCCTGGCTTGCCCTTCTGTGCAGCCACTGCACTTCTCGGGGGGTGTGGAACTCAGCCGGCACCATCCTGAGATGCTCCCCCGTCCCTGCACTGAGGGCGCTGCGATGTGCTTCCTCACAGCCCCTAAACTCTCAATAGCATGCTCTCCAGAACAACCTCTCTTCCACCAAGGTTCGGTTCTCCTCTTCATGACAGCATCATCTTCACAAGATGCATAAATGATGATTGATCCAAAGCTACAGTGGTGTATGAATTGTGAACATTCATTTTATGTCCTACATCTTATGTGTGCTGTGTGAAACAGAATACTAACAACAGGATAGGAAGCCCCTTCCAGTCTATCAGAACATACAAGGGTTACAGAGACTGCTCACGTGGGGCTGTCGCACTGGCGCGTCCTGAAGCGGACCCCCGTTCCACACGTCCGGGAGCAGGAGCCGAACTTGGTCCAGGAGCCCCAGTTGCCATCCTGCTTCTGCTGGTTGGTGTTCTTCCACATGCAGTGTCCTTTGTAGCACCACTGAGGACAGTGACAAAGGCCATGTGAAAATCACGCTGACACCGAGGCCGGAGTCATTACCAAGTTCCTTCTAGGAAAAGTCTTCACTTCCTCTTCTGCTTCTTTTTTTCTAGGTAACGATGCATTCAAAATGTCCAAAAGCAATTACACTCTTCAGATAGCCTAATGGAAGGGGAACTCAGAGTTGTATTTTTGTTATAAAACTAAAATAAAAATACGTTAACTCAGGCAACTTTTTAAGTGATATAATCACCAGCAAATTGGGGGTGACATCACAACTCGCCAGGTTTGCCAGGAAGTGTCATTCTGCCCTTCCTTCCCACTGCCTCTACCACCTCAGGCATTCTGTGAGTGACAATGGATACAAGAACATATGTCTCAACTCAGAAGATAATACGCATAACATTCAAAACCACATCCAGATTGATTACCTTATAAAATTTAATTCACAATGATCCTGATAGATCAGATAAGGACCTTACCCTTTCAGATGAGGAAAATTAAGGCCCAGAAAGGTCCATGAGTAGTGGGTGGCCCTGACCAGGGAACAATCAAGGGACTCTGTACCCTGACTCCAGAGGGCCTTATCACAGTGCTCTGTGCACAGCAGGCGTTCTAAAGGTACTCGGTATTTCCCTTCCTAATATTTAACTTGCTTATTCTTACTATATACAATGAAATAATTTTCTTTAAACTTGACTTTTGTAGAATTAAATACAACACCATTATTTAAGGGAGTTGCCTGTCAAGAGCTGATTATAGGGGATCACTCTTTAATAAACTCAGAACTGATTACCTCATTATTCCTTTTCATTCTAGACAATATTTTGTTACAAGATCTCCCCAAATAAAAGTATTATATATCACATTTAGCATAGAGTTGGACACAATGAAAGTATTTGTAATCACAGGTCTTATTATTACATATATTCTCATCACAAGTAAGTTTGTACACATTTTAAATTGGCCTTTAAAATAACCAAAAGCTGCATTGATCTTCTTTTCCAGCCTTTTGTCCCATCTATAATGTTATTTCTAAACTAGTCAAGGCTCTTGGGCTCATGCTCTGAATATGCCTTTGTTTTGAGATCTTTGCTCTTGAGAAGCATAGCCTGGCACTCTGCCAGCTTCTGAGCTTTCAGTCCTGCCTACACGATTTGAGATTTAAAACCTCTGGGCATGTTTCCCTGAGGAGCAAGACCAACTCTGCTGTATACACTCACATGACTATTTCCAGGAAACTGTCACAGGAATGGGATTCAATACGTAAATCAAACCCACTGGCAGGAGGCAGAGACTCTGCTGAGTGGTGGTCCCAAGGGTGAGAGATCCTAATCTACCTGTAAATGTGACTTCAGTTGGAAAAAGGCTCTTTGCAAATTAGGTTAAACTAATGATTCAAATTAGGGACATTATTCTGGGTTATCCAGGTGGACACAAAGTGCCACTCCATGTGTCCTTCTAAGAGGGGTCAAGGGACCCGCCAAACAGAAGAGCAAAGGCAATCTGGCCACAGAGACAGACACTGCAGCAGTGCAGCCACAGGCTGGCCTGTGGACGGCCGCTCAGTACAGGGAGGTGAGTGGCCAAAACAGAGGCCACGCTGCGGCCCTGAGAAGTGGTCCTGTCTGCAGCTCGGTGAAAATCTCTAAATTTCTGGCCTCTAGAACCATGAGGGAATAAATTTCTGGTGTTTTAGGCAACAAAATTTGTGGTAATCTGTTGCAGCAGCCACAAGAAGCCAACAGACACCATCCCACTGAGCCTCTCCAGGAGCCGCACCACTGTGGCATAGACAAGAATGGAGCACAGCTGTGCTCAGCATCGGCTAGGATTTCCAACGATGGTCACCTGGCGCATTATAGTCCTCTACTGTTGCCTCGCACACTCACCTTCCCAGCAGCACATTCGGTGCCATCGAGCGGGGGCCCCTTCTTAGTCTTGCAGAAGTAGGGGTTGTCAGGGTGACTGCACCATAGCTGTTTGCATGGGTCAAAGGTGCGGAACTGGAAGAGAAAGAACAAATGTCTGAACTTCAGGCAGCACGGCATGAGCCCACGCTACACCCTCACATTTCTGCCTGTCTTGCTTCTTGCACAATTTCAAGTCAAGTCAGTGGCCAATGTTACGATCACAGAGAAATAATACTACATAAGATTCCAAGCAGAGCTGGGTACGGTGATGCGTGCCTGTGATCCCAGCAGTTCGGGAGGCAGAGACAGGAAAATCACCAGGAGTTCAAGGCCAGCCTGAAATACATAGCGGGACCCTGCCTCAAAGAAAAGCCCCAAAACAAAAAACAGATTCCAAGTAGAATACATTTACTTTGTCAAACAACAATGATAAACAATGCTTTGTCTGGGGTTTTCTACTCAATTTTGTGATCCCTGTACTCTCAGAGTTTCAAACAGATAGTATTAGAATTTTAAAATGTGTTAGAAATTATCATGAAAGGCTGAAATACAAAATCTTATTACAGTGGCTTAACAGCTCTCAAGCTATCAGAATGGCTTTTCTTTATTCCTGTAGGTATAAACTTGTAAGACATAAATAATAAAAAGCTCATAATTAGTTGACTAAAAGTAGAAAACAGTTGTCAGATTTTCTGCGTCAGATGAAGTGCTCCCTCACAATACAATATCACAGTATGTTCACGTAGTTTGTAAAGCACCTCCCAGACACAGTACTTGATATGCACACCAACCCTGGCTGAGGAACAGAGGCCACAGGTTAAATCACAGTCAGTTACAAGATTCTACCAGAACCAGGATCAAACTTGGGTTTTGTCATTCTCTAAAATGTTTTTTATTTTCCTAAGACACTGCATTATAATGTCCAGATGTGGATGTAAGCACACACACTTGTATGTACTCTTCATCTGCTCTTTTTCTAAATGTAAGCATCTTACCATTCTTTGGCTAGAGTTTTTAAAAACAGCAAACATAGCCAGGCATGGTGGCACATGCCTATAATCTTTGCACTTGGGAGGCTGAGGCAGGAAGACACCCAGACACAGTGAGTTCAAGGCCAGCCTACACTACACAATGAGATCTCGTCTCAAAAAACTTTTTAAAAAATAGCAAGCACAGTATATCCATGTACTGCTAATTTGCTAATTAACCCATATGTAGCCTTATGCTCACAGATATTATTTATTAGTGCTTATTTTAGACCACGATTTTTTTTTGTTGTTGTCATTCTAAAACTTGTATTTTCCACGACATTAACCCAAAGGTCTCAGGTCTGAAACACCAATACAGGTAATTAGGAGATGGGCCAACTGGCTGTATATGGAAGATTTCAAACAGCAGATCAATTTTCTTCTCAATATCAATAAATACTTTTATTTTTTGGAAGTAACACAAAAAAGTATTTAACCATACAAAAACACTTTCTTTCTATTTTCTAAAAAGACTGGCACGGAAATGTTATAGAACACACCTCCAGTCTGAATGATTGCATGGAACAATACCTGCAGTGGATTCCATGCAGCACTTATTCTCTGCTTTCACTGGTCTAGCCATTTAACTACACTGCCAAACCTTTGAGATTAATACTACTGTTAACCACATTTTACACACGAGTCAGCCAGAGAGATTAAATAAGCTGTCTAGGTCACACATTTAATTAATACCAGTTCTACGACTTGATCCACCCAGGCAATGACATCTACCTCTTTTTTTGTTGTTGTTTTCCCCAGGGCCTTTGCAATGAGCTGCCTCTCCAGCCCTCTTTATTTTGGTTTATTTATTTTTATTTTTGAGACAAAGTCTGGTTAAATCATAAAATTTCTATCCTTGGCAGGAAGTTGCAAGCCTCTCATCTGAGCCTTCAGAGTGCTGGGGATACTGCCAAGCACACTACACCCTGCTGAGGCCACGCAACACTAGCTGACTTTTTGTTGAACACCAGCATAACCCTTCCGGCGGCCACACACACACACAGAACTCTGGCCATCGAGCCACAGAATAGCAAGGTGTCCAATCCTTAAGTCACCTCTGAGAAATTAGGGAAAGAAAAGAATGTGAAGATTCAGAGCCAGACAGCCTCAGTGCAAAGCTAAGCATCTCTCTCCAGCAGAAGGTGACTTCTGAGTTGCTTATCCTCTCTAAATCTCAGCTTTTTCTTTTGTAAAATAGAAGATCTGCTTCCTTCTACTATATCCCGAGGTTTAAAAAATGTAGCATATTTAATACATTTGGTTTCTGCATCTAAATAGAAAGCAAACACAGAATAGCTGGTGGCTTTTCTTACCCTTACATGGCCTGCAAAGCTCACAAACAGATTTCAAGATGAAAAAATTAAATTGACTGTGGGTAACGTACCGCAGTGCACATTTTGTAACCAACACCAAAATCAAAACGACATTGCTCATCCATAGAATAATTTATTCCAGGAAGTTCTGGGAGTTTAGGCCAATCATGTTCAAAAGGGTCATCAAGCAGACAGTCGTAGGAACTGCAGGAAGGAAAATATTACTTTTAATTAAATGTTCATTTTTAAAAACTGTGTCTTAATTATAAAGAACTCTTAGTTTACATACTCTAGAATATCATCTGATCACAAAGCAAGTTCACAAAGGGGAAAAGAGGGAAAGGGGACAGAAAAAAACCTGAAGGACAAAACATTTAAATAGAGCTTTTGCAAATGGGAAGAGGACCAAGAGTTGGGAGGAGCAGGGAGGGAAGGCAGTGTACAAACCAAAAAAAAGGAGGCGAGAACTGGGATGTGTTAAGTACGTGTACATACTCCCCACGACGAATAGAATCGCTACATATTATAACGTGTGCTAGTAGAAAAAGAGTGAGAGGGACTATTATGCGGGGTTTATAGCAATGTGTCTTTTATTGTATACATTCTTAAAAGTAAAACAAAAAAGCATTCTTAAAGTTTTTTGGTGTTAGTTCAATGTGGAAAAAGATTATTCATCTTATTCATTCAAACAAGTCAGCCAAGCAGGAACACAGGAAACTGCTCATTCATTTCATTAACCGAGCCCCCACCTGATGTGGAAGGACAGACACTGACCCTACTGGACAGAGAGAGGCCAGCGCTCAGGACCTGTGACCCACTCTGCTCCCTCAGTGCTTCTGGCTGTTCAGGAAAGACTCCACGAAGAGGTCACTACAGGGACATCACACTGCTGTGAGAGCTGGGCTTGGGCTCCAGGCTTACGGCTTATAGTGTTGTGATCACATTACAGAATTATAGAGCTCACATCACTGAGTCCTAAGGAAATGTCCGTGATCAACAACAGTCTTTCCTGACTGAGAATTCTGATGATGGTCTCACGTCTGGGGCCCTAACGCACAGGCCTCACAGCTCGTGGCACGTACTGGATGTATCTCCTCAGCTCCTGGCCACTGCAGCGGGACCAGTGGTAGCGGTGGAAGGCAGCCTGCACCAAGGGCGCCATGACGCTGCCCATTGCAGTCTCGTCACCACACCGGTTGCCCTGCCCGTCGTGCTCCATGCCCAGCCTGTAACACAAAGCAAGGAAACCCCGGCTGTGAGCAGCAGCCTCTGGTTCTATAGTTTTCTTCTGTCTTGAAAGGTGCTGGAAAGGACGCAGTGGCTAAGACAGGGCAGCTCTCTTAGAGCAGCTCCACAGACTGAAGCACAGGGGCAGTCTGACAGCAATGCCATTCTGTGCTAGAGCTCTGCAAAGGCTGCAGGACAGCCACTCACAGAGTCTCAGCGCGGGACCTCTTCACTGCGTTCACTCCTCACCCCTGGCAAGGGATGCGAGCTGCATGCTGGCATGCATCCTGCCCAAAGCCTGAACAATACTGGTAGAAGCAAGGAAAAGACCTTTTCCCTTACAGCTGTCAGCAGTGACTTACACATGGCCAGTTTCATGGGCTACTACAAAGGCAGATGAAAAACCATCCTCGTGATTCAGGGTGCAGCTTCTCACTGGATGACACATGCCCGTGACTGGAGCGTATCCTGTAGAGAATGACAATTACTTTTATTTTCATTTTATGAGAAAACCCATTAAGAACTACTACTGGATCTTTGCCTAGTGGAAAATCAAAAGCAGGGTTTGCAGCAAACAGAGGCAGCATTATTTCCCTGCTAGCCTTATGCGACATTCTCTTGGGAAAGCCACAGGTTATCACCTCTAAAAAGATTCACTGGGTTTGCATTTTCTCCTTCCCTGAGTGAAGGAGCTGCCCAGGGCTACCATTCTGCTGTGCCTACAGACGAATGCCTTTCTCTTCTAGTCAATGGACCTTCATATTGTGGCACTGATGAAGGGAGCCAAAAATTCCACCAATGCTGAAAAGAAAAGCATCAGTCTGCCCTTTCCAATGTCCACATCAGAATGTATCAGATAAATGTAAGCTGACTTTGAAAGGAAACTCTTTGGCCATGGGCATTTCTCACGGCAGCTCTTTTCTCCTTTTAAACAGTGGAAATCACAGGACATTTTATAGCATCTCCTCCATACCCCAATGCACAATCACTGTTTTAAAGGCAAATGTAATTCATTAGAGTATTAAGTGGCATTCACCATTGTGAATTCCACAGAAACCACTGGAAGCAGTAGAAAGAAAATGTATGCTTGGCTAGGGAAGGGTGGAAAGTGGTGGTGGAGATCTGAACACTTCAACACACTGCTTGAGTTAGGGCTGCTTTTGAAATGCCACGCCCATGAGCGTTCCTTCTACAAGTTAATGGTAATACCTTGCATTCCAGCAGGTCCAAAGTCTTGTCTGGTTAAGAAAATTGCATGATCATGGTGCTCAGAATGGTCAGGATCAGATTTCTGTTGTTGGCAAGCCCAGCGACACACATTCTCTAAGCTCCTGGATGGGTTTCCCCTTTCTATGAGGCTGATGGACTAAGAGGAAAGAATATGTTAAAGACCAACATTTTCTCAAAGGCTTCCTTTCATAACTTTTTGTGAAGATGAAATTTGGGTCATACATGTTAAATAATATTTGGGGCATTAGATACCTACTGTGGTTCGGGAATTCGAAACACCCCTAAGGATATCTGAGTGATATTCAATACTTCTTGTGAGAAGGTATTAGATAAAATTTATGAATAAGTCTGATGCTAAGATTTGCTCTTTTGAGGAAACTCATCAATAGTCATTTGAGTAAGAATTTTAGATGTCTAAAATATATTTTGATTCTGCTTAGATTTAAAATTTCATAGATGTTAAGAACAAAGGTATAGAAGGAAGATTCTGGCATAAGACTTTATTCCTGACATATGAAAGTAAAAGATCTTTGTTGAGAATTTTGTGTATTTTTTGGTCCAGAAATAATTAACATGTGGAAAGAATAGAAATTTCTTCATAAACTAGCAAGGCTAGTCAAATTTTAGTTTACAAGGAACAGTCAAATTATATTAACCTCACATTGAAAAAAAAAACCCACCAAAATAGTTTTTTAATCTCATGACAATGAAGAGGGATGGACTCTTATCTTGCGGTTTCAACAGACACAGTTAAGTCCCTGGGAATGCTGCCATATCACAGACTAGAGTTAAAAGTTCAGGGGTAAAAGAGGCATCCTTCAAGCGCCCAGAAGCTGCACATCCAGAGTGTTTCTGACAGAATGAGAAATTGAATTTGGAACCCGAAATGAGTCTTGACTTGGCTGACAGGCTGAGAATTTTGCTAAGTTTCAGCAAATGTTGTTATCACTGTTTACATTCTTAATAAAATTAGTTTGGTTTGTTATATGCTGATCACATATTTCTCCAAACAAGTGATTTAAAAACCAGTAGAAGGCTGTCAGTATTGCCAGCTGGAACTAACTTCTGTTCCTTGGTAGCCTCAAAGTGGGTCAGGTTTATGGCAGAAACTAAAGATCAAGGCCTTCCTATCATTAGACAAACGTAAGTGGATGTTATATTTAACGAGATGCAAGCATATGAATTTTTCCTGTTTCCCAAATACACAAATTCACTAGCCCTTCATAATCAGAAGGATTAATTATGGGAGAAGTCGTGTCCTTTAAACATCAAGAAAATGGCCATTAGTCACTTCATCTATGTTTTCCCCTCGAAGGGAGGCACTTTCATCTATATCATTATTTCCAAGGACAGGGCCATATCATTTTAAAACTGGTTAAACTATATTACATGAAATGCCTAGTGTGTGTGCATTCTGAAGACCAAGCTTCTGCTTTCAAAAAAGAACTGAAATTCCTTTAAATGGAAAACATTATTTCATTTTTACTTTATTGTTTATCAATATATACATGTCATCCATAATGTTTACACTCCCCTTGGGGAGGTGGTATCTGCACATCACATCTGGATCCTTCTGCATCCTTCCCCCTCCCCCATCTGTTTCCCATCCCCTTTGGGAATGATCTCTCTTCCTACTTCCTATTATCTGTCTTTTATTTTTATTTTATTTTGCTCTTTGTCTATTTTGTTCTGGGTTTCTCCCATAAGAGACACCATGTGATATTTAAGCTTGTGTGTCTGACTTATTTCACTAAACATCAAGGTCTCAAGGCACATCCATTTTCCTAAAAGTGTCTCAAGTTTCACTTTGAAATATGAAATGATGTATGTAAAATAGTCTTTTTAACAAATCAAGAGAAGGCAAGATTTCCATCTTTATCTTCAGTAACATATTCCAGGTACCTATGAAGAGTATATCACATAGGAGGCACTCAATATAGACATTCTAAGTGAGTTTACAAATCACACTTTGAAAATGGAGACAAAACTCACACTCCCTCTTGCTTGCTGTAGTGGAGACTGAACCCAAGCCTCCTGCACTAAGCTACATTCCCAGCCCTGTTTTTAAAAAAATAATTTTTGGAAGCAGGGTCTTGTCAAATTCCTAAGTTACACAGGCTGGGCTTGAACTCTCAATCCTCCTGGGTCAGGCTTCCAGAGGCTAAGTTAACTCTCTTAATGCTATGCACTAATTTTCCTTTATGCACTTTTATCTATGGTTAGGATACCTATCCCTCATCCCACTTAGAGAGAAGTAAGTAAATGGCAGAATCATAAAAGTTATTATATGCTCAAACTTGGAGATCTCTACTCCTGGCCGTTTTTCTTCTCAACTCAGTGCCACCAGGCGTCTACATGAGACACAGAGCAGCTGCAGCTCCTGCGATTTAGAATGCTATTGCTATCCCGGTCTCTCATGTTCTTAGCCTACATATTTTAAGATATTTTACCTTTGCATAACCCAGCATTATCATGCGGACCAGGACCACATTTATATGCACTCCAAGGGACTCATCATGGTAAATTTCATTCACCTAGAAACGAAGGAGACAATTCCTAAAAGAAAGGTCTTACAAAGGATTTTAAGACAAATGCAACATTTAAGGGATCAACCATGGAAACTGCCGCAAGTATTCAAGTAAAATTACATTTTTAAAAAAATTTAGCTTAAGCTGAGCCCTGAAGTTAAGTAATTTATTTTTAGTTTTGGGACAATCCTTAAATATGCGAACTGCTGATTTCATACATTTCACAGTAATACTAACATAGAAAGTATGTTTTAACGGAGTTTCATTATACCTCTAAGTATTGGAAAGGGTCAGCACATGTGTGACGTGTAACACACATGCATGTTAACACTCACCGGAACAACCTGGAGAGGGTGAGTATTCTGCTGACCTGGCTGGGTCACGGCTGCAGGGGGAGGGGAAGAGCTGCTGCCTTCAGGGGTGTCCCTGCGGCCAGCAGGAGAGTCTGGAAAGAATCGTGCCATGCTGGTCAGTGTGCAGAGCCCACGGTGCTTTACTGAGGCAGTAAGCAAGTGGCCTTGCTGCTTCCCTCCCAGAAGTGGGGCAGAGGGGCAGTGACTGCTAGGAGGACTATGGGACAGATGCCCTACAGCATGGCATTATTAAGGTGATGAACAAGTGTGTGTCCAATAAGCAGCGGCCCTGTGATGTAACTCAGGAAAGCCAAGAAAGAGACTCTACTGGTCACTGGAACTCCGTAGGTGATCGGTACGCTCTAATATTGCAGACTGGGATTAAAGCAAGTGAACTGTAATTCTATCTTCTGACCAAGCTAATGCAAAATGAGTGCACACTCAAAATGCCCAGTTAAGCAAATGCCAGCAGGAATGAGAAAGACAGGGTTACCTGGCTAGGTTACAAAGTTCTTACCAACAGTCATCACAGTGACTACAAGAGCCACTGGAGTGCAGGGGATTCGGCACAGTGGTGCCGCGGCCTGCCTTGCAAGTTCAAGGGCCCAACTTTGATCCCCCGTACCAAAACAAACAAACAAAAAAGCCATTGGAAACTAACGCCTATCTTTACAAAGACATAGCAGATCTAAAACCTGCAGAGAAAAGACAGGCATCATCCCATGAGGAAGAGATTTTAAAAGGAATACAACTCAAGAACAACAGACTACCCTGAGAAAAATAAATTCACAAATCATAAAATGTTGACGCGACACACTGTCCAAGAAACAGACCAGGAGATCTCAGTCAACTGTTTCAAGAGCAGCAGCAGAGCCCGGCAAAAGGCAGGATCTTGAACATAGGTGGAAGGAACACTCAGCACAGAAAGGGAGAGGACGGCACAGACGAAGGTAAGGGAGAATACATCAAAAATACAGTACAGCTTGCTGCAAAGTTTTTTAACATGGGAAATACATATATATAAACACATTTATAAGTATATGTGTACACATGTGCATGTGAGCACAGAGACAAGAACCAATTGCATACCTATGCAAGACAAGCCAAAATGTGAGAATATCTTCAATGTGCTCCTGCACTCATGCCCGAGCTGCCCAACTCGAAGATCAAGCACAACTCAAGTACCACGATGACTTCTCGGTGCAGTCTTAAAAGACAGGTGTCCAACAAACATGACAATATTGAAAAAAGATCAGAGAGAAGGAGCCCGGAAAATGTGTCACATGAGGGGCGGTGGCCAGGCATGGTGATGAGAGCCCAGACAGCAGACAGAGTCCCAAGTGACCCCATTCACCCTTACTGCACATGAGCGCTCCATCTCTCCGAGCCTCAGTCAATTGGACATAAAAAATGCTACCTCACAGGGCTGGGGTCAGAATTAAGGACTTATTCAGACAACTGCTCAGAAACTTTATGACTGAGAAGAGAAAAAGGGCATTTGAGGGGCTTCAGACTACAGGAAGCAGAAAAATCCAGAAAGAAGACTAATGGCTGTCCTATACAAGGAAGGTTAAATTTATGGTGATTTCTATAGAAAATAAAGCTTAAGACCATTCATATTATCATATAAGTAAATTTCAGTTCACTATGATGAAAACTAAATGTTACATGAACAGCTGTTCTTTTGGCTGTTTTTCTCATGGGCAGACTCAGGCCATACTTCACATGGTCTAATTAAAGACTAAATAAACCCACCCTCCTCTTCTGTATTATCTGCTAAAAAAATTCCCAATGCTACAGTTCTAAAAAAAGTAAAAATCTCAAGCCAGATCTCTCACTAACACATTCATCCAGAGAGTCCTGGGCATTGCAAGCAGCTGTTTCAAATTACAAACACGGCTGCACACGAAGATCTTACCTATACTTAGTCTGGTGTATCAGAAATGTGAAAGCATTCAACGTTTAAAAACAGGGTTGAAAACAAGGTTAGTAAATAAGGAAAGCTAAAAATCAACACAACTTAAAATTTTAGAAAGCAGAAGGGAAGAAATAATGAGGAAGTGAAGAGGGTAGGCACAGCCATTACAGACACAAGGAGGGGTACCCTGCAACTTTAATGACACACACTGTACACAACTGTGTAGGAGAGACGACATCAGGGAGCCCCAGATGCACAGAACGAAGGAAAGGTGGTAAGGATAACAAATAGCCTGTGATATCTTGATTATGGTACAATATATGCATTAGTAAACACATTTGCATTTGGTGAATTTTAAAAATCTAACAGGGCCCAAAAAGTATATAGGCAAAATTCTTGTTCCCAATGGCAAATTACATTATCAAACAGGTTAAGGGTCACTATTTTAAAAATCAAACTACCATTCACCAGCAGAAAACTATTACTGAACAAAAGTCACTACTATGCCAGGATAATCAGATGATAGGCTGCTTCAGTAAACATCAGTTATGGGACATTAGGAGTCAGGACTCAGTTTTGAAGCTTATGGAATACACATTGCTGTGTGGTACAAAAATCAAACATAAGTGAACAATATTTTTACATACATAGCAGAAAGCATTCTTTCAATGGGGTGAATCAACACTACTAGGGATTTACAATGTGCAAATCTTTGGATCTCATTTTTTTACTTCTCAAGGTTTACAAAGGTTCGTTCTGTACATTATTCATTTTTAAAATGAATTCAGTGACTTGTCTGCTCGTGTCTCATCTGGCTTCAGCAATGCAGGAGGCACAGCGATCTGGCACTGAGACGTACAAGCGAGTCACAGTAAGAGTTGGAGATAACGCAGCAAGGCAGGATCAGACAGCCAAAGACCTGGGTTCCAGTCCTGGCTCTGCCACTGACAAGCACATCTGGGTGGTTATCTGACCCCTCTGATACTTGCTTCTGATTGAAAAACTCATCATGATTGCTCTGCCTACTTCCTAGGGCTGCTGCTCAGGCAAACAGGAGGTCATGAAACTGCAGTCAACAAAACGCAAAATACTCAGCACCCATTTTACTCACATAAAAGGCTTTGGTGATACATTTTCATAACCCGGAAAGATAAAAATTCCCCTGCACAGGGGAATTTAAAATACCTCTATCTGAATTTTAAAAATCTTGATCAATTGAATGATGATTTAAATTATCAAGAAAATTATCTGAAAAATCATTGGACCCTTCAATTCTAAAGGTGCAGAAAAAGTTCTGCCAGTAGATGGCAGTATGCACATGGTGGCAGGGGCAAAGGACACGCTGCACGAGTCTGCCTTTTACCATGTTTACACACAAAGAAATGGCTGCCTGAAATTAAATTTAAATTTAAAGTATCCATAGGAAAAGGCTGTTTTGAATGCCTACTCACTTGACTCTCAAAAGCAAGGAAAAACACTGAAAAAAATTTATGTAGAGTTTTTTGTCATCTGATTACAATACAGATAAGTATATGAATAAGGCATAAAACATGATCTGGCTCTATTTAACAGTCAATAAATGATACAGAGGAAGAACTAAAAGCATATCACACTGCATTAACAATATGAATCTATCAGAAGGGACTAAGTATCCATTAAGAAGGTATTTTTACAAGTTAGTGACAAAGAAAGCATTTTTTTTCAAAGTAAAAAGCAACATCAACAACAAAAATAACAGTATTATAGTCTTCCAGATTCTAGGCACTATTTTAAATACTATACTTGTACTAACATAAGAAATCCTCAAAGCATCTTTAGAGATATTACTGACATTTAGCATTGATACAAGTTGAGACCCAGTGCAATTAAATCACTTACCCGCAAAGAGAGCAAGGGACCCACCTAGAGAAGGTCCACACTCACTAGTCTTAGCCACCATGCCACACTTGCACATATCTTCAGGTCACAGTCCATCACTATGCAAGAATGAGTTGTCCTTAACAGTGATCCACTACCTCTGAGTTTAAGAATATGGGGCTGATCTTGTCAAAAAAAGAGAGCTAAAAAATCTCTCGATTTTATAATCCTCCTTCACATATATTTAAGGATGTGAGGACCTGAAGTCTGAATTTAAAATAAATTAAAACTTCTTAATGTTCAGTGTAATGATGTACTAAAAAACATTGGAAAATAAAGAGAAGCTACAGCAGGTCAGCAGAAACACTGAGCATGAAAAGGTGAAATGTATAACCAGTGTAGGGGTGGTAAGAAAAACGTGAAGAATCAACATTCCAAGAAGCCACGTGTTTGACACTACACAATGCCAACCAAAGCGCATCTATCAGAACAGAACGTCTTTCTCCACAAGAACTGATCCAGTAGACTCTTGAGGAGGCTCTCCGTGAGGTGTTTAGGGTTGAGCCTAGAGTTCTTTTTAAATTCCCTGCAAGAGGGTAAATAGAATATTAATTCATTTTTCAGATGACCAAAAATTGGATGAGGTTGCCAGCGATGTGAAGAAAGAAAAATAAGTAAAATCAGATTAAGGATTCCTTTCCTTGAAAAGAAAATCAGTTTGTTCCTGGACAGGACAGTTTCTCCCAGGACACTTCACTGGCAGGACCAGCTGACCTACTGTGTCTGACCAGCTGATGAACAACTTTGGCTTCACCAAACACTCATTTTCCTTTCAGATGGATGGATTGAGTCATGGGAAATAGTACAGTGCAGTAGTT